CTCCACCACCCCAACATCCCCCCCTCCAGCTCAGTGCAGGGATCCACCACGGGGAGCTGGGGTCACTGCAGTGGCTCAAAGGCAGATTGTGTCCCCAGAATGTCCAGTTTGGAGCAGGTTTCCCTTAACCACCCCCTCCTGAGCTCCTGGGTGAGGATTTCCTGCATTTCAGCCTCAAGCAGGAGGATCCCAGAGCGCCCTGGGCTGCTGGGACACACTGAGGAACACACAACCCCCAAAGGGGCCAGAATTCATTCCTGGTCAGAATTCAATCCTGCTGCTTTTGGCAGCAGCACCAGAGGGGTCCCTGGGGGTGACAGGTGCCACCTCCTGCCTTTCAGTGCTGCTTTCACCACTTCCCAGCCATTGGTGTCAGCAGAAAGCACCAAACACATCTGAAAGGTCCCTGCACCCTTACAAAACTCTCCTTTACCCCATCTCTCCGTGTGGTGAAGTAGCACAAACTCCTAAATCCCTGAGGACTCCTTTGATCTTTTGCTGTTCTGGCTGTTTGCTTTTGTGAGAGAACAGTTTTAACTCCAAACCAAGTTTTGAGAGTAAAATTAAAAAGAAAAAGCTAGATTTTAGGAATTTATTCCTGCTACAGTGGTGGTGAGCCCTGGCACACTCCGATCCAGGATCCCCTGGATCCCTGGAAGTGCCCCAGGCCAGGTTGGAGTCACCTGGGACAGTGGGAGGGGTCCCTGCCCACGGCCCTGGATGGTCCCTGAAGCCCCTTCCATCCCAAACCATCACATCAAAGGGATTTTCCAGCCTTTTCCAGGCTGCAGAAGTCAAAGCAGCTGAGGGAGCAGAGCAAACTCACCAGATCATTCCCTCAAACAGGTTGTGGATGATGAGGTGGGACTGGGTGACGACGATCAGCAGCGTCACGTGTGTCCAGCCAAACTGCGAGAGAGGAGAGCTCCTTGTCCAGCCTGCCCAGAGGAACTGCCCAGCTCAGGTCCTCAGAGCTCCTCAGGGCTCCTCTGTGTTCCTCAGGGCTCCTCAGGGCTCCTCTGTGCTCCTCAGAGATCCTCAGAGCTCCTCAGAGCTCCTCAGAGCACCTGACTCCTTCCCCAACCCCAAATTTAACCTCACCACAACATGAATTTTATCCTCTTTGGGCCTGAATTTTAACCTCCCCAGGCCCCAAATTTTAACCTCACCAGACCCCAAATTTTATCCTCTTTGGGCCCCAAATTTTAACCTCACCATGTAGAACTGGAGGCGGTAGTGTTTCTTCACCAGGCTCAAGACAAACATGCAGAAACCTGAGGAGAGACAGGAGGAAAATCAGCGCTGGGAATGCACCTCCAGCAGCCAGAAATGCTTTTGGGCCCCTGCACAGCTGCTGGGGATTTTACTGGAATAAAATTTTATTTTTTTTACTGGAATAAAGGAGTGCTGTGCAGTGGGAAAAGCACTTGGGCAGATGAACAACCTGAGCAGATGAACAACCTGAGCAGAGGAACAACCTGGGCAGAGGAACAACCTGAGAAAATGAACAACCTGGGCAGAGGAACAACCTGGCTGCCCCGTGAAGATGATGAAATTTTATCTTCCAGAACCTCGTGGAAAAGATTTACCAGCCGCTACTACAAAAAGATTTGCCAACTTCCAGCCTCCCTGCAGAGCAGAGATGCTTTGCTGTGGATCCTGCACAAACCCAGCACTCCAGGCAGGGAATTCCTTCCCTCCATGAATGAAGGAGCAGCTCCCTGGAGAGCAGAGATGCTTTGCTGTGGATCCTGCATGGACACAGCACTCCAGGAAGGGAATTCCTTCCCTCCATGAATGAGGGTGATGATCTTTGGGGAGCAGAGATGCTTTGCTGTTTGTCCTGCATGGACACAGCACTCCAGGCAGGAATTTTCCCCTCCACGAATGAAGGAGGAGCTCCCTGGAGAGCAGAGATGCTTTGCTGTGGATCCTGTGTGGACACAGGCAGGAATTTTTCCCCTCCAAGAATGAAGGAGGAGCTCCCTGGGAAGCAGAGATGCTTTGCTGTGGATCCTGCATGGACACAGCACTCCAGGAAGGGAATTCCTTCCCTCCATGAATGAAAGTGATGATCTTTGGGGAGCAGAGATGCTTTGCTGTGGATCCTGCACAAACCCAGAACTCCAGGAAGGGAATTCCTTCCCTCCACGAATGAAGGAGCAGCTCCCTGGGAAGCAGAGATGCTTTGCTGTGGATCCTGCACAAACCCAGCACTCCAGGCAGGGAATTTTCCCCTTTCTCCTCCTGAAGCTCACCTGTCAGGTAGAGGGCGAAGGAGATGAAGCGATGGTATTTGCTGAGGATCCTCAGGGGCTCCTCCCTCTGCACCAGGGTGAAGAAATAATCTGTCACCGTCTCGCCGTAGAAGAAATAGTTCACACACAGCAGGAAGTACCTGGGGAGGGTGGGAACCTCGTCAGCAGAGCCCTCAAAGGCTCCTGGAGTGGCTGAGGGCTTGGCAATGCCAACAGGTTTTGCTTCTGCCTCCCCCTGGTTTGGAATTGTCTCCAAAGGGTGGCTGCAGCTCCCAGCCCCACGCTGGGATGGGTCACAGCACACAGAGTGCCTTTAGTCTGTCACCAACTGGCCTCTGCTTCCCAAAATCCCACCCCTTGTGATTCCCAAAATCCTCCACCCTGTGCCTCCCAAAAACACTCACCAATCCCCCCCTTTTTGGAGCTCACTTTTAGGGTTTCTGTGCCCCAAAAGCCCCCAGTCCTGCCCTCTCCACAGCCCCAGGTAGTGACAGGACAAGGGGAAAGGCCTTAAGCTGCAGGAGGGCAGGGTTAGATGGGAAATTGGGAAGGAATTCCTCCCTGGGAGGGTCCTGAGGGGTTGGGATGGAGTTCCCAGAGGAGCTGGGGCTGCCCCTGGACCCCTGGAAGTGCCCAAGGATGGTCTGGACAGGGTTTGGAGCAGCCTGGGACAGCAGGAGGTGTCCCTGCCACGGCAGGGGTGGGATTTCACGTCCCTTCTGCGGGATTCTGTGATTTTCCTTTACAAGTACAGCCAGCACAGGTCACTGTCAGCCCAGGGCCTGTGGCTGCACCCTCTGAGTGGCCAGGGGAGGGCCAGGGGCAGCCAGGGGAGGGGGAGCAGCCCCCCACTCACCAGCTGAGCGTCCTGAACCAGGGCAGGTCGTAGGAGTGGTACACGTTGTAGCCGATGGTGATGATCTCGTGGAAGCACTTGATCTGGACACACATCACCTGCACAGAGAGGACAGCCAGGCACCAATTCCTGCTGCTCAAACACCTCTCCCCTCCAGGGGATGAAAACCAAGCACATGCAGAGCTCAAGGGCTTTTAGCAGGTGCCATCAGCCCTGCAGGAGCCTCCCAGCCCCATGTGCGGAGCTCAGGACGGTGTTTCCCCTCCCAGGTGAGGAGCTCAGGATGGTGTTTCCCCTCCCAGCCCCATGTGAGGAGCTCAGGATGGCATTTTCCCCTCCCAGCCCCTCATGAGGAGCTCAGGATGGTGTTTCCCCTCCCAGATGGGAAGCTCAGGATGGCATTTTCCCCTCCCAGCCCCACATGAGGAGCTCAGGATGGCATTTTCCCCTCCCAGCCCCTCATGAGGAGCTCAGGATGGCATTTTCCCCTCCCAGCCCCTCATGAGGAGCTCAGGATGGTGTTTCCCCTCCCAGCCCCACATGAGGAGCTCAGGATGGCATTTTCCCCTCCCAGCCCCACATGAGGAGCTCAGGATGGCATTTTCCCCTCTCAGCCCCACATGAGGAGCTCAGGATGGCATTTTCCCCTCCCAGCCCCACATGAGGAGCTCAGGATGGTGTTTCCCCTCCCTTTCCCCTGCAGGAGGTCTCTAACCACCTCTTGTGTGAGTTCCAGCTGCAGCCCAACACTGAGCAGCAGGTTCCTCCCAGGTTTCCCCCATGGAGAGAGGAATCCAGGACCTCCAGGACACGAGGCCCTGAGCTCCCCCAGCTGCAGGGAAGGTCAGGACCCCTCCCTGGAGCACTTACTATGGTCATCAACACCATGGGGCCCAGGTAGATGATGATGAAGAAGAAGGTGATCATTGCCAGTGTGAGGATGCCTCTCACCCACCAGTTCTTCCATCTGAGCCACAGAGAAGGAAAACATCAGAGAAAGGCAGGACAGAGCAAAGCAGCCACAGAGAATTTCTGCTGTCTGTGTGGCACGAGAAGGAAACTGAGCCCTGGCAAGCCCGAGTTTCCCCTGGGTGCTGCAGAGACCTCGATGTGCTGATAAAGCTGCAGCAGCTGCACCTCAGCCTCGCCCAGTGCAGAGAGCTGAGCACCTCCCAGGCACTGAGATGGGACAGGGCAGCCTCTGCTCTGCTTCTGCTGCAGCTCTCCCAGCCCTCAGACACCCTGCAGGGTAAACTCAAATCAAATGGGGACCGTTCCCCCTCTCCACACTGCTCTCCATGAGGAGAGATGGCCCCTGGCATGTTGTACCCTCCCTGCTTTCCTGCTGGGAGCCTCTCCCACCCTGGCAGCACGCTCAGGACAGACACCTCCTCCTGTGCTATAAACACAAATTTCCTGCCAGGCACTTTGTGGAGAATATCCCTGTTTTGTTCCCAAATCCTGTCCTTATCAGAACAGCTCCTCAATTCCTGCAGGATTCAGCTACAGCTCAAACCTTTGCTGTCAGAGCCACCCACGAGCTCCGTGGCTCTGCCCCTTCCCTTCCCACCCAAATCCCTGACCCTGCTGCTTCCCAGGGCCTCAGGGGCTGGGAGAGACTGGGAGAGACTGGGGAGAGACTGGGGAGAGACTGGGGAGAGACTGGGGAGAGACTGGGAGAGACTGGGAGAGACTGGGGAGAGACTGGGGAGAGACTGGGGAGAGACTGGGGAGAGACTGGGGAGAGACTGGGAGAGGCTGGGAGAGACTGGGGAGGAGCTGCTCCTTCAGCTTCCAGCAGCCCCATGCCATGGGGAACCACGGGGAGGGCACAGGAGGATGCTCAGGGAGTGTCACCTCGAGGACAGGGAGTGTCACTTCGAGGACAAGTTGGAGAGGGCCCTGGGAGGGCACAGCAGGATGCTCAGGGAGTTTTACCTCGAGAACAGGTTGGACAGGGCCCTGTTCAGGGAGTTTTACCTCGAGGACAGGTTGAGAACAGCCCTGCTCAGGTGGTTTTACCTCGAGGACAGGTTGGACAGGGCTCTGGGAGGGCACAGGAGGATGTTCAAGGAGTTTTACCTCGAGGACAGGTTGGACAGGGCCCTGGGAGGGCACAGCAGGATGCTCAGGTGGTTTTACCTCGAGGACAGGTTGGACAGGGCCCTGTTCAGCACCTCTGGGGTGTCGTCCGAGGTCGGCACCGGGGATGAACCCCCAAAGTCGCATTTGCTCTCGCTGTCTGACGCTGTCTCTCCATCCAGCTTGTTCTCAGACTCTGACTCCTGCAGGAGGACAGAGAGAGCCAGGGAGCTCCAGCAGGAGCCTGGCTGGCTCCAGCACTTACCACCACTGCTTCTGCAGCAGACAGGGGGGAGAAGGAAATGGTTTGGGTGTTACACAGGGGTAAACACACGAGAAACATCCCCAGGTGTTTCAGGTGGCACCCAGGAGGGGTCTGATGGTCCCAGGTACAGAAGAGGACCTGTTTCCCCTGCACAGTTAGCTCAGGGTTGATTAATCAGCATCTCCAAGAGCAGCAAGTGCTCCAGGGCTTGTTAGCAGGAATTTTTACAAGGTCCCAATCCCCAGGCAGGTCTCAAGGAATGTAACACCGTCCAAATTAGTGCCAAATTAGCTGGCAAGAAAGGCCTCAAGGCTTCCAGACAGACTTTCTGACTGCTGGAGGACACCAAAAATAACCCCCAGCCCATCCTCAGGCAGCTGAGGAGGAAGAGCCTGGCTTATCACCCTGGCCCAAGCATCCCCTGTGGCCACAGGAGAAACCCGAGGTGCTTTCCCTGCCCCAGCACTCAGCCCCAGCAAAGTCCTGCAGGAATAAAGCCTGGAGAGGCTCTGGAGGCTCTGCCCCAGGGCTGGGGAGGGGATTCCAGGCCAGTCCTGGCTCTTCCCAGAGGCACTTGGCACTCTGACCCTGAACAGAGGTCACAGCTCCACACTTTGCCCCTGGTCTCAGCCTCATCCCGCTCCTGGCAGCGAGGAAAAGGAAAAGGAAGGAAAAGGTCACTCCCTGGGGAGCATCCAGGCAAGGCAGAGCCCTTGGCCTCAGCCCAGGGCTCTCTGCGAACTGCTGCTGCAGGAAAAGCTGAGCTGACAGATGCTGGGAGCTCTGTAAACAATGAGATCTCATCCCCTGGGGCGTCCAGGCAGCTCCAGAACAACCAAACCCCTCGGCTGGGGCTGTCTGCAGCTCAGTCCCTCATTTAAAGCAGGAAAAGGTAATTACTCCCCCAGCTGGAACGTGTCAATGGCTGCGGGCCACCATCTGAAATCAGACAAGGACAGCTAAAAATACCTGGGTGATGTCAGAGATTATTGCCAGGGATGAGCAGAGCTCCAGCCACACAGCAGCAGCACCCAGTGTCACCTCCTGGGCACCTCCCTCCACGCTCCTCCTTCCCACCCATCCCCTGGCAAGGAAGAGTTTGGGTTTGCTTCCAACCCAGCACCTCTCACAGCTTTGGGGAGCTGGCACTGCAGTGCAACCCGGATTTGTTTCAGGTGCTCTTTAACTGAGCCAGAAAATCCCCTTGGAGCTCAGATTTTGGAGAGGTTTAGCTGGGAACACAAACCCAGGAGGCAGCTGCAAACGGCAACAGGAAAAGAGACTGGGAATTTTAACATCTTCACTTCTGAAACAAGTGAGCAGCACTGAGAATGAGCTCTCATCCCTCCTCAGATCCCCCTAAATTGGGAATGAGCTCTCATTCCTCCTCAGATCCCCCTAAACTGGGAATGAGCTCTCATCCCTCCTCAGATCCCTGTGGATCAGGAATGAGCTCTCATCCCTGCCCAGCTCCCCATGGATCAGGAATGAGCTCTTCTCCCTCCTCAGCTCCCCATGGATCAGGAATGAGCTCTCATCCCTCCTCAGATCCCCGTGAGCCCGCTGAGATTTCCCAGGATACTGTGCCAGGACTGGATAATTGGCACTATTTTTATCCCTTTCGTGCAGATTGCCCCCAGCAGCCCAGAAATCCTCATTTCCAGCAGCTCAGTGGGTGCTGAAGGGCTGCTCCAGCCTGGGCACAGCTGTGCCACTGCCTTGGACACCCCTCCTGTCCCACCACTCCGGGATTTTCCACTGGAAAAGCATTTCTGTCCAACCCCCAGGTGAGCCCAGGCCTCCTCCTTCCATTGATCACCTCACTACTGAAATCTCCTTACAGAATAACAGGAAAAAGGAATAAAACCAAAGCAGGAATTTATCCCAATTCCCTGATTTCTCCACAAGCCACGACCAGGAGAAAGAGCAGAACCCCAAATCTCTGCCAGGGCTGTCTCTGCTGACTGCTCAAGCACAGCTGGGAAAAGCTGCTCACCTTTTCTGCTCATCAAACCAACAGCTCTGAGCAAGGCTTGTGATATTTTATCACCCTGAAGAAGACACACACTGAGAACTGAGCTCTTCTGAGCTTTATCTTTAAACAAGAAGGTGGTAATGGTTTTTTACACAAATATCCACGGCATGATCTCGGTTGCCATAGAAACCAGCCTGCTCTCTCCCTTCCAAAAATCCTCTGCCCAATCCAGATATACAGTTAAATATTCAAAGATTAAATTAGCTCGAGAAATGCCATTATTTAGGTATTTTCCTTGGAGCTGGGCACTGTTTTATTCAGACTTCCTGCCAGATTTTAACAAAAAGCTGTGACAGAAAATGTTATAAATGCTGCAAAGGGAAATAGAGTTGCTTTTTTGGGTAACAGAGCTGAGAGCTGGAACAAAAGGGACCGAGTGCACCTCTGTTCTCAGCCCTGAGCACATCTGCAGGATCAAAGCAAGTACAATTAATTTAATTAATACAAACCCAGCGCCCTCAGTAATGAAAACCTCAATGTTTTCCAGAATGGGCTTTAATTCCTAATTTACATCCAGGGAAACTCTTCCTGTCCCCTCTTTAACCTCTGTGCTGTGCCCCCAAACCCCCTCAGGGTGACATCACAGCCAAAATTCACCCCAGAATCCCAAATTAGGGGATATTCCCTCTTAGGGGTTTGCAGCTCTAGAGGGTGAAACAAGAGAAACCAGAAGGAAAAATCAAACTTTCAAGTTTGGTTTGTAGGAAGGTCCCAAAACAGCACCAGGGTCTTTTTACAAGTGTTTTTTTACCCTGGTATTATGCTGAGACTGACCTGCAGGACAATTAAACACAAATTAAAATTAATACAAATTTCTCGTGTCCTCCCCACCAAGCTGGCACCTGGCTGTCTGAAAAAAACCCAAAAAAACCAGCTCAGGTTTCATTTCTGTTGATACAGGACTCCCTTCCCCATCCCAAAATAACCGTATTCCAGCTGAAAACACGCAGGGAAATCAGGACATGCCTAAAAATGGAGAGCTCCAGCAGATAACAAGGTGACAAAAAGCAGGAATGCTTGCACAGGGGCTGAAAGAGCGGAGGAAATTCATGCCCTGGTCACAGAGCTTGGTTTGGCTGAGCCACGGGAGGTGCTGGGAGCCAGGCTCAGCCTGCACAGACTGGATTCAGGGAATTCAGGATCCGTGGAAATCACTCAGGATTCGTGGAATTTACATGGGATTCATGGAAATCACACGAGATTCATGGAATTCAGGATTCATGGAAATCACTCAGGATTCGTGGAATTTACATGGGATTCATGGAAATCACACGAGATTCATGGAATTTACATGGGATTCATGGAACTCAGGATTCATGGAATTCAGGATTCATGGAAATCACTCAGGATTTGTGGAAGTGACACAGAATTCATGAAATTTACATGGGATTCATGGAAATCAGGATTCATGGAACTTAGGATTCATGGAACTCACTCAGGATTCATGGAAATCACATGGGATTAATGGAATTTACATGGGATTCATGGAAATCACACGGGATTCATGGAATTTACATGGGATTCATGGAACTCAGGATTCAAGGAATTTACATGGGATTCATGGAAATCACTCAGGATTCATGGAACTCAGGATTCATGGAAATCACTCAGGATTCATAGAATTCAGGATTCATGGAAATCACTCAGGATTTGTGGAAGTGACACAGAATTCATAAAATTTACATGGGATTCATGGAACTCAGGATTCATGGAATTCAGGATTCATGGAACTCACATGGGATTCATGGAACTCACTCAGGATTCATGGAAATCACTCAGGATTCATGGAAATCACTCAGGATTCATGGAACTTATATGGGAGTCATGGAACTCACATGGGATTCATGGAACTCACATGGGATTCATGGAATTTACATGGGATTCATGGAAATCATACAGGATTCATGGAAATCACTCAGGATTCATGGAACTCACTCAGGATTCATGGAAATCACACAGGATTCATGGAAATCACATGGGATTCATGGAACTCAGGATTCATGGAATTCAGGATTCATGGAACTTAGGATTCATGGAACTCACATGGGATTCATGGAATTTACATGGGATTCATGGAAATCACTCAGGATTCATGGAAATCATACAGGATTCATGGAAATCAGGATTCATGGAACTCAGGATTCAGGGAATTCAGGATCCGTGGAAATCACTCAGGATTCGTGGAATTTACATGGGATTCATGGAAATCACACGGGATTCAGGGAATTCAGGATCCGTGGAAATCACTCAGGATTCATGGAAATCAGGATTCATGGAACTCACTCAGGATTCATGGAATTTACATGGGATTCATGGAATTTACATGGGATTCATGGAAATCACATGGGATTCATGGAATTTACATGGGATTCATGGAAATCACATGGGATTCATGAAATTTACATGGGATTCATGGAATTCAGGATTCATGGAACTCACTCAGGATTCATGGAAATCACATGGGATTCATGGAATTTACATGGGATTCATGGAAATCACATGGGATTCATGGAATTCAGGATTCATGGAACTCAGGATTCATGGAACTCACTCAGGATTCATGGAAATCACTCAGGATTCATGGAATTTACATGGGATTCATGGAACTCAGGATTCATGGAATTCAGGATTCATGGAACTTAGGATTCATGGAACTCACATGGGATTCATGGAATTTACATGGGATTCATGGAAATCATACAGGATTCATGGAAATCACTCAGGATTCATGGAACTCACTCAGGATTCATGGAACTCACATGGGATTCATGGAAATCACATGGGATTCATGGAACTCAGTCTGGACAGGGCTGGGAGGGTGGGAGGTGTCCCTGGATCAGTTTAAAGGTGTCTCCCAACCCAAACCATTCCATGATTTTCCACTCTGGGCTATCAACAGACACCCCCAGGTAACAGCATCCCTTGGGCTCAGCCCCATAACCCCAGGAAAGGATTCCCTGGTTTTTCACCCCAGAGATCAGAGGGAGCTCAGTGAGCAGAACAAACACACGTTGCCTCGTTCCCTTCCAGACAGAGACTTTGTGCTGCACAGGGGTTTTAACAAAAATCGGTTTTAAAGCGTTCTGGTTTAACAGATCCCCTGAGGCAGCCCAAAAGCAGCCTGCCACTCTCCCTTGCCAAAACACAAAAGTGGCAACAAGCACCAAACCCCGGGATCCTGATGTTTACATCCCATTTCTGCCAACACAGAGCCCTTTCCAGAAGCCTCCAGGGTTTCTGTCACATGAAAGATGCTGAATTATTCCCCTTGGCAAGGCTCCGAGTGTGACAAAGCAGGAATGGAGGGATGGCAGTGTCCCCTCCCCAAGCAGCAGCTGCACAGAGACCCAGGAACACCACACACGAGTTCTTGTGCTGCTCCCAAGCTTTTCCAGCATTAAAAACACAACTGCTGCATCTCAGGGCAGGAATTCAAACCCTGCCACCGAGCATGGAAGGACAGCCAGCCTTTCACCGAGGATTTGTTACCAGGGAACCTCCCTGCAGCTGCAATTGGCAATTTTGGGAAATTCTCTGCTCCCATCGCTGCCTTCTATTACGAAACATCTCATTCAGCACCTTGGAGGAGCTGCTCCTCACTGCTGGGGAACATTTCACTCCTTTTTTTTTCCTCCTGCAATTCATTCTGAGCTGTTTTACGAGAAGCAGCACAACATCAACGTTCCCTCTCTCTAGAAAGGACACTCCAGGTCAGCAGCTGGAAGGAAATATCAGAGGATTCCTTTCAGAAGGTTCACTGCATGTGAAAACACCAGCGTGAAGATAACAGGATTGCCCTCTGACCTTCTTTAGGGGCACAGCACCAGGAGCTAAAGAGAATCCCAGCTTGGCCCAGGGAGTTTGTTGTGCACCACTTCAAAGCCCTGCCAGTCTTCCAGCTCTGGAATAAAAAAACCCCCTGAAGGTTTTCTGCTGCAGAGTGAATTCCAGCTGAGGTGAACGCACCTCAAGGTCTCACCCTCTGCACAAACACCACAAAACTGGAGCCATCTCACAGCTCCTTCCCTCGGTGTCAGAGCTCCAGTGTGAGAGGCACAGGGTCCAGACCCACACCAGGGTGACCCATTCCCCGCACAGCCTCTTACAGGTGTTTAACTGGCATTAAAATTGCATTAAAATCGCATTAAAATCACATTAAAATTGCATTTAAATTGCAAAAGAGTCCTGTCTGATGTTTCTGTGCTGCTCTGAACTGCACCCTTCGTGCACTAATGGAGAAAACATCAATATGATGCTGCCGAGGGCTGATGGAGCAGTCCCAAGGTAAGTGCATTAAACAGCATCGCAGCAAGAACAGCTCTTCCCTCCAGCTTTTGCTCCCTGTGACCCTGCAAATGTTATTTACAAAGTTTTCCCTGGCTGTTTATTCCTCTCGGTGCCTTCCTCTTTGGGGAGGCGCAGGAGCAGAGATGACAAGGGGTGACAAATATTCCAGCGGGGCTCGGGGCTGGAATACAAGAGAGGATAGAGGAAAACAGAGCCAGCTTTGCTTCCCACGGCTCTTCTGAGGGAAAAAAGAAACTTTTTCCTTTGGAGAAAGGCGATGTCAACCCTCAGTGAACTGGCCCAGAGCCCTGGCAGGGAGGGCATTCCCTGGCCATGGCTTAGGAGACACCAAACCCTTCCCTGAAGGAACCTGAGGGCTTTGGAAGCTCCTTCCCTCAGGATGGCTCAGGAGGAACCCTGAGGGAAGGTTTGGAACCCTCCCCAGGGATGATTTCGGAGAAACTCTTCCCCAGAGGCAGGATTGGAACCCCCGCATTCCCTGAGGGGCGCCGAGCTCTCCCTGCCCCGGGGAAGGTTCGCGACCCCACCGGAGCCATCCCACAAACGCGGCTCAGGCCCCGGAACAGCCCCGGGGCTGGGCTCTGCTCCTCCAGGGCCCAATAAACCGAGCGGGGGCAAATTCCCCGAGCGAGGGCAAACTCCCCGCGCGCGGAGCAGCGCAGGGGCCTCA